AGAAGAGGCATGAAAAGTCTTACGTTGGAGACGTTGGCTTCTGGAGATGATCGAAGAACAGAACTCTTGAGCTTTTGTAAATCACGGGCGAAACGAAACGAAAAGTTAAAAGCTTTAGACGAATGGGGATTAGGGTTTTGCAGGCGCAAGCGCAACACTATGGAGCGATTGAAAATGGGGATATTTTGGAAGGTCCTATTGCGAAAGATGGCAGAGAAATGTCGCGATAAATAGAAAGCACACTGTGTGATGGGTAAAGCGTATTTAAAGTGACGAAATTGGGAGTCCTAGTATTTGCATCCAAGTCCCCAACTTTATACTTATTATCGCATGCACCCAATTACCCATTGTAGAATGTTTCGAGATTTCTAAGGTCCCGTTACGGGATGGTACCATCAGTGTTTTACATCATTGGATACACATAAAGATTATCTTGTGTGGATAATCTACGATAACCAATATTGACGGAACCATTCCGTCAACGGAATTGCAGTAGTTTCTTAAAAAGTAAAAACCTTTTGAACCAACCATTTTTTTTTTTTTTTTTGTAATAATATCTTTGATCTTGTAATAAAATCGAAAACAAGTATAATACGACACGGATACTTGTTAAAAAAATTATATTTAATATTAAATATTTATAACAAATAAATTGTTTTTTTTTTCAAGTACTTCTTGAAAAAAATGTATTATTTATATTTAAGTTGCTCGTATATGTCAAATTCAAATGAAAAAAGTTATAGTAAGAACTACAAGAAGTCAGAAAAAAATTGATAGAGATTTGAGATTTGCATAACTTATCTAAAGCATTAGGTATGTTATATGCATGTCCACTTTTGTGAATTTTTGTTCTTTGTTTGAGATTTCCTTATAATAAAAGTGTTTAATTCCAGGCTTTGAAGAAGTTTCTTCGTTTTTCCTAATGTGATCAAGTGAGGTGGTTGGCTTCACTTTACGCTGGAGTGGTACGTATCATCATATCAGTTTATTTTTTTAGGATCGCTTTTGTTCAGAGGACTATCGAACAATACTTTTTTATGCAGGGACGAAATGTCGACTCATTGATCCTTTATTTTGGCGAGGAACCAGCTCGTTGCCCATTTGAGCAAGGTAGTTTAGTTTTTAACTTCTTTCACTTGTTTACTGTGGCGCATTCATATGATTGTGGGACACGGTGTAAAAATGAAAACGGGACGTTTTATCAATATATATATATTTTTTTTTTTTGGTACAAAGAAAGGAGGCTAACGCCTAGAGCCATAAGACAGTTATATGCCGCGAGTAAGCAACGCCAATGAATCATTTATTTATTTAAAAAAAATAAAAAATAAGTGGACTAAAATAAAACAAAAAAATAAATTGTGGACAAAAATAAAACGGACGGATTCTCACAATCCGTGTTTTACCGAAACACGTATTCTGAAAATCCGTGTAAGTGTAATTTTACTACGAACACGGATCACGAAAATCCGTGTTCCGTTAATTACGAACAAAACACGGATTACCAATATCCGTGTTCACTTAATCTCGTAATTAAGCTAATTAATTAAACAAAACACGAATTCTGACAATACGTGTTTAACTGAACACGAATTATGACAATACGTGCTACATAAACACGGATCACTAAAATCCGTGTTTAAGTATTTATTCATTTTTTTTTAAATAATTATAGTATATAGTTTTTTTTAATATATACTATATACATATATTTAATAATTGACTGAGATTGTTATATAATAAAATTTAATTTTTTGGTTTTGTTTATTTATTTATTTATTTTGAGTTAGGGCTCGACTCTTGGATGCTCACGAGCTTCCTACTACCGAACGCGTTTATTTTGGCTGAATTTATATTGTTATCTTTGAATATGAAGATTTTTTATAAATTTTGATTTAACATTTTTAACACGAAACAATATCACTCTAATATCAATTCATTCGTCAGCTAATAATCTAGTACAAAAAAGTGAAGCACAATTAACGATAAAAAAAAATGAACCACGAAATATGTACACAAAACCATCAAATTAAATATCTAAGAATCCAATACGAAAATCATCAAAACCATCAAATTAAATATCAAAAAATCCAATACAAAAAATAAAACTAACTAACTAGGAGTATATGGATTCCTGGGCTTGCGTACTCGGGACCCTTTCCGAGGAGGCCGTGGTACGGAAGAAGACGATGTTGCGGTC